AAAAAAAAAAAAAAAAAAAAAAAAAAAAAAAAAAGCCATCTCTGATAGACCCCACCCCTGACCTGTGATGGTCCCTTCTTGCATTCCCATGTCCTTACCTTGTTTATTTTTCTTGGCAATACTTGCACTACTCAATCTCTGTTTCTCTCTCTCCTTTTCTTTCTGCAGTACTGGGGGTTGAACCCAAGGCCTTCGCACTGAGCTCTATCCCCAGCTGTTTTTATTTTGCGACAGGGTCTTGCTAAATGACTAAGTTGTCCAGGCTGGCTCAAGCTTGCGATCCTCCTGCCTCAGCCTCCTGGAGTCCTGGGATGACAGGCATGTCCCACCACATCCAGCTCTGAGTCCACACTTTCACCACACCCCTCCCTTTCCCTCCTTCTCCCAGAGGCTGCAGAATCTGTTGGCCCAAATGGGGGCACCCATGATCACTCTGTGATGCCTCCTCACAGGTTCTGACCAATCTCACTGGTGTTTCCTCACAGCCATGCCCACGCGGGTACAGCACCATCTTTCAGATCTTTGAGCAGATCAGAGAGGGGAAGTCACTTGTTTGAGGTCACACAGCGTGCCCTGTATCAGTTCCTAGACTTCAGACTCTGAACTACCATGTGTGCTTGGACAAGGGGTGCAGGGTTGTGATGGGGGAGACTGGTTTGTGGGGTTGCAGCCACCCTGAGGCAAGAGAGGCCCTCAGAAGTACAATCAACAGAGCAAGACTGTCCACTATCCCCTTGCGTTTAAATGCTGAAAATATGCCCTAATAGCAGCAACAACAGATACTTATTTACTTTTTCCTGGGTGCCAGCGACAATCCTTCACTATTTCTTGTTTGTTTGAGACAGGATCTCTCCAGGTAGTTCAGGCTGGCCTTAAACTCACTATGTAGCCTGGGCTGGCGATTCTCCTGCCTCAGCCTCCCAAGTGCTGGAATCACAGGTGTGCACCACCACGCCCGGGAGGGCTCACCATTTGTTGAGCTCATGAAGTGGCAGAGCTGGCATTTGCCCCGGGCCAGTCTGGTGAATGAAGGTACCACCTCCTGTAGTGGTTCCCAACTGCAATCCTAGCCCTCTGGAAGGCTGAGGCAGGAGGAGGGCAAATTTGAGTGTGGCTTGGGCTGTACAGTGACGTGAGCTCAAGGCAGGCCTGAAATACATAGTGAGAGTCTATCTCAAGGAACACAAAATAAACAATGCCATGTCTGAAAGCCTTTCCTGACCTCTCTGCCGTCTCCAACACTGTTCCCAGAGTGTCCTGCAAGTCCCCAAAACACACTGACGCTGTGGTTTTATGTAGAGCATTTTTTTTTCTTTCCTTCTTTTCTTTTTTTCTTGTTTCTTCTTTTCCCAGTCTTTGGGGTTAAGCTCAAGGTCTTCACACTGAGCTTCACCCCCAGCCCTTCTTATTTTCTATTTTGAGACAGGGTCTCCCTAATTCATCGTTGCAGGGGCTGGGCTGGAATTTGCAATCCTCCTGCGGCAGCCTCCCAGAGCGCTGGGATGACAGGCGTGGGTCACCATGCCCGGTTTTAGGCAGGGTGTCTTCAAAGGCACCTGAAGTGAAAGGAATAAAGAGTCTGGGCGACTCACCAAACACGAAGTTGTCAGGTCGGAAGATCTGGCCGAAGGGGCCGGAGCGGACGGAGTCCATGGTGCCGGGCTCCAGGTCCACCAGCACGGCGCGGGGGACGTAATTCCCTCCTACAGGGGAGCAGATGGAGGGCAGGTGGCGTGAGCACAGGGCGCAGGCAGTCTGTCCCGGCCTCCCACACCCCACACCAGAAGGCACCGTGCCCTGCCCACCGGTGGCCTCGTTGTAGTAGACATTGATCCTCTCCAGCTGCAGGTCGCTGTCCCCGTGGTACGTGCCGGTGGGGTCGATGCCGTGTTCGTCGCTGATCACCTCCCAAAACTACCGGGGTGGAGAGGTGGGAAGGTTGAGGCCTAGCGCCTCCCACCTCCCAGGCTCTATGCGGCTCCCCCAGCAAGGTGCCGGAGCGGAGGGGGCAAGGATGAGCGCGCACGAAGGGAGAGGCGGAGGCGGGTGAAGCAGTCAGCAACCCGCGCCGCCGGCTCGGGGTGGGGCGCGGTCCTTTGTGAGTGCGGGGGCCCG